CAACCTCAGTGCATATCTGAATAAGTTGACATTGCAAAATACGTCACTTAAACAGGTTCAACATAGAAGCAGTGGCATGAAGGATTCAGTTATGTCATCTCAAGATGAACCTCCAACTAATGAAAATGAAAAATGCAGCAGTGATGACTTTACCCCACTTGCTATTCAGGAGCTCATCAGGAGGCAGCATGCAGTGTCATGCATATCGACAGCCGAGGCAGTCTTGGATAAGGTTTCTAATGCTGCAAACTGTATCATTTGTAAATCTGACTATATCCTATTAGGAGAACAGCTGAAGCATGACAGCCAGCTGGCTTTCATGGGGTATATACTAGATTTGCCTAACTCATTGGAATTTGGAAGTACATAATATTTAACAAATGATTTTCCTGCTAGGAATCACCATTATAGTGTTTTCTGTCCCTTTTTTTTTTTTATTTTAGTAAAAGTTTTAGCTTGCTACATTTTAAACTACATATAGAAGTTAATGTCTTCCTGCAAATGCACCAAAATTGCATTTTACTTTACATAACTTAACAGAAACAAAAGCCTTATTTTTAGATTGGTAACCTTGTAGTCCATTGATTATTTTCTAGCGTTACCTTTTCTTATCACTGCAATGTTTGAATTAACTTATTTGATGAATCAATAGTGTTGCAGACATGTTACCTTCTGTTTTCAAATTGATGTCTAAAATGGCGCATCCATGCCATTTGCATGAACAGTGACATTATGGACTGTGTTTAGGGATGGCTATAAGTATGCTTTCTTAGTTAGTTACCACTTTGATGTGTGTAATGTTTTCTCAAACATAACTTTATGGAAATTTAGCAATTTCTGTAATATTGGAATATTGTGCCAGTTTCATGCCATAGGATATGGAATTATTTCCTTCAAATTTACTCTTTGTTGTCTTAGAAACATTTAGATTTTTTTGTGGTGCTTTCTATTATTCCAATTCTCCATTTTCTGATGCATCTCAGTGGACACCATTATCACTGCATAAAGGGTCGGGTTACTACTTGGCTTAGAAGATCAATTGTTTCTAGTGAGAATGACTTGCTTGAAGATCTAAACTATAATTTTTGTACTCAGGAGTGAAGAGACGTCAGTTGATATTTTCACATGGAACCAATGGAAATCTAGGGCGTTATCATATTTTATTGATAAGAAAACTATTAGATCGGTCTCTGGTGCTAGCTTGATATTTTCTGGCTCTAAGAATCAGTGGGTACAAGTGTTTGAGCAGCTGAATATTTCTGATGGAAACAGAACTGACAATTTACTGGAGATGGTTGTGAGTGAATTTGAATTTCATTTGAATGGTTGATGAATGCTGCATGTTTTTCATTTTAATTTCTCACTCTATTTGTAGATTCTTTCCCACCCTTTCTTTCTCTTTAAGCAGGAGCTTCTCTTACTTGGATGCATCACTAGCAGATGGAATTCCCTGGTTGAATACTTGATGTCAGTTTCTTATGATTCCCTTCCTGTCTCAAATCAATATCACTTACTTTGCAACTTTGTCTTTGGAAGATCCTTAAATTTTCCTCATAAAGAGGACAGTATGAATTCAAAGGTATTTCTCAAGCTGATTTCTATCTAGCATTGAATATCATGTATGCCTGACCTATCAAGTTACATGCTGGTATAATTACCTATAATGGAATTGATACATTTTCTTTAAGTAAATCCAATTGCATTGTTATATCTTGGCATTTCAAGTGTTTTTCTTCCCTTAATCCACGTTCTCATGCCTCAAATGTTAGATTTTCTTAACAATGCTTCTGTTGTTAAGTCTGCTCTAAACGTTTGCCCTACAGCCTCTTACCAATCTATAATCTTCTATTTGAATCACCACTTATAATCCATTGTGTTGGTCTGAATTAGGAATGCGGCATCCTTGACCATCTGACAGGACTCATTGGAGGACAACTTCATCTACTGTGGAAAATATCTCCCATCCTTGTGGCAGTTTCTATTCCTTCATGGTAGTGTAATTTTTAACGAAAAAGGACCAGAATGGCTGTTGAATTTTAGTTGGTTATTCTATAGGATGAGAAATCATCCCATTATCTTCATAGGATCTATGTTTCATCTTTTACACTTTTAATTTTGAATAACAAGGGAACTGCACTTAAAGCCCTACTTCATTTGCTTGACCAATAACATAGAATGATAAGAATCAGAAAATAGGAACCTCATCTTTCCACACAGATTGTAATTGGATCTCCATACAATCAATGTTGCAGTTTGTGGCCAAAATGAAAGTTGTGGTTTAGTTACAACATGTGATTTTAGATTCTGGACTATGGAAATTCCTAATTAAAAAAGTTGAGCGTAGAAGATCATATTAATTGGCATTATTGCAGGTCACCATTGTTCAGATTTTATTTGAGTGAAATTGAGAGTCAAGTCAAAGGAGATCCTTCCATTAAAAGGTCAGATTATGAAACTTTTTATTTTATAAAGCAGTCTCACTTACTGTTAATCTATTTTGTCAGCACTTCCGGTTCAGTCTCCATTTTACTCTTTTTTAATTATTTTAGATGCTGCAGTTGCAGTCAAGATAAGGGGCATAAAGATTGTAAGTATATTCAGATATCTTCCTCTTTCCTCTCATGTTTGTTATTATTCAGACATCTTTGATGTTTGATGCAATTGTTGCCTGCTATGCTGAACTTAGAAGCTTTACAATTCTATGTTTGTGGATCACTGCAATATTTGATCAAGCTGCAGACCATGGAGTACCTGTCTCTTTACCTTTTTGCTCCAAGCTAAGACTTATATAGAATACAGAAGACTTGTGTAACAATTCTTACCTATTTTACCTTACAAAAACAATTTTTTCATTTTTGCGACAACAATCTTGGTAAAAATTTATAATTTTCCTATTCTATTTATGATTGTTGTGCATGCTTATAGTGCACGTTACTTAGACATGAACTGGGGTCTTTTTTCGTGTATGGTAGTGGTCTTGTAAGCAGTTCTCTACTGAGTTTATGATCAATACTAGTATCTGCAACTGGTCTGCATATGAACTGAATTAAAAGAGTTGTTTGCCATGTATGGAAGAATGCAATAGCTATGATCAACTTAGTGGAGCGAAGCTCTTCCGTTTTCTTTTTTTCTTGTTCCAATCTTTTTATATTTGACTTTTTCTATACTATTTTTGGTGTCCTTTTAGATTCCATCTATAATTCCTATTAGTATAATTCACAATTATTTTGTTAAAAATTTTAACTGTTACGGGAATTTTCTCACAAAACTTGAAACTGATTTCTCTAACTGACATGTCCCCAGGTGAACTAGCTGAGAAAATTTGGTGCCTCTACATCTTTCACGTTTGTGGTTCTCAAATTATTCACAATGGATCTGGTGCTTGACAGCTCAGCATACCATGCTGGTCTGTAGTAAGACTTACTTTTTCTACATCTATTGCTCAATTGGCCTTCCATATTTTATTTGTATTGGTACCTTCAGTTTTTATTTCTTGATATTATCTTTTTTTTTAATAATATTTATTGATATTATCTTGTAAATTAAGAATTAAAGTAGGCTCCTGGGTTGAACATCTGTCCTTCAAAATTTCCAAATGCATAAATATTTTTGTGATACTCCAGTTACAGTAAAGAGAAAGGGACTTTCTCATCGAAAAAAAAAAAGAAAAAAGGAGAGAGAAAAGGTCTTTACATATTTCACCAACTGGGACTTGTCCATAAGTTACAAAAATGAGTCAGTATTTCAACCCACCCACTATGTGGCCCTATATCACACTCAGGAAAGTGGGAAGAAATAGAAGATCATAAAATTGTAATAAAGTGAAATCTGCATAATCATTTGAAATAAATTACAGGCAATAATGTAGCATACAAACTGAGTAAGTTTTCAAGATATGAATATAAAATAACATAATTGATGGTTGGGAATTCATAAAACATGTTAATGAATTTAACTTTTGTTTTATAGGCATTATTAAGTTATCTGTGTTGAGCTTGAGTGTAGATCATCTTTTAATGACATAATCATGATGTGGTTTACTCGTATGAAAGATTTCTTCATACTGTGTGGCCCATTTCACTCGTTTTCTTTCAATATTTTCTATAGGTATCTGATTATCTCAACCTTGAAAATATTTCCTCATCTTTTTGCCTTTCCTCTAGATAGCACGTCATCAAATCTTTTAAAATAATTAGGCACAACCCTTTTTTGCACTGGAATTAGATCGCACTTATTTAGGGATGGGCGGTGTGAACTTTTTAGTCAGCACACCTTATCATTTTGTTTTTTCCTCTCACGTAGAGGCTGCAAAAGCAAGCTCATTAGACTAGCAAAGGCAGAGGGAAAATCACAAATGATAAGCACCAAAAACTTTAGTAAAGTCCATACAATCTAAAAAAGGGTTATATGTTAGCTACATACATTATATCACTATTTTCTATCTTCTGATCGTGGCTTCTTTTTCCAAGATGGGACCGGTATGACCAGGAGATGACTTAAAAGAAAAGTGGATGAACTGTTGATGATAATGATTCTCATTTTCTACAAATGGGAAAGTGACAACTAACACCATTGAAAATGATAGTCGTTGCAAGTGGGAATGTGATGGTTGAAAGCATAGGTCTTCATGTCTTCTTTTGAACTTATATATCTCATTGTTCTCCATTTCTTCTAGGCATACAAGCTTTCTGCCTTTTGGTTGATACGCAGTGCGAAGGAAGAGGAGAGCGCCATGAAAATCCTGAGTAAGCAAACCTTGAAGAGAATACAGTTCTTGAAGTGGGGAAAGAAAGTTGTGCACAGCCCAACTGCAGTCAGTGCTCAAAGAAAAGCACCTTTGAGTTGCTGCACAAGATATGTCCTGAAGCAGTTAGTTTGGAAGGTCAAGGCACAGTGCAGACAAGCTTTAAGGTGGCAAAGAAGCAGTATGCAATTCAGTTATGATTTCCACAGCTATTCTCTCAACTTTGATGATGATGTTTCCAACAGGAGGACGAGGACCATATCTTGTTGATTCTCTCTGATTAAGTTTTGCCATCCTCTCCTAACAGGTCTTTTCATGAGTTGCTTCCATGGACAATTCTTGGAATTTGTAAAGAAGGTTTCTCATCAACTTTAGCTTGAATCAATCCATGTATGCTTTCTATTTGTACAGAGAAACCTTGTATTCTTACAATTATCTGGATTTAATTGAAAAAAACGAAAAAACCCGTATTCATATTTTTTGTTCCACTCTTGGATTTATTGCTTCTTGATTTTTTTGAGCTAATTTCTCTTGAAGTTTCTACTTTATTGATTATAAGCGATAGTTTACCGGACCTGATGATCATGATTTACGGAGAAATTTCATCAGTTCTTCTGACCCACTTGGGTTGTGAAAGATTATAGTGGAGAGAAGTCGGTAAGGCTGGTGCCTGGTGGCATTTGGCACTTTTAGGCCCCTCCACTATTCATCGCTCTCACAGTCTTACTCCTTGTCTTTCCACAAAACATAAACGTGATCCACACTACAAACCACAGGTTGGGAGCAGGTGACAAGCTGTTGTAGGAGATATGGCATGCGTCCCTTGTCTCCGTCTTTCTTTCCCCTGTACAGTATTGACTTAAAAAAAAAAAAAAAGAGAGACAGAAATTGTGATAACGTATTTGGTTGGTATGCTCTCCTTTGTCATTCTAGGGTTGTAAATAGGTTGAGTTATCTGTGAGTTGTTTGATTTAAATTTAAATTAATTTTGATTTGACTTAAACTTAAATTTAAATTTAAAGTTGAGATCAAAATGTTGAGTTGAGTTAAATTTGAGTTGTATGCAAAATTAATAAAGTTGATATTTGATTATTAATAATAATTATTTTTTATATTATAAAATATTTAATTTATTTATTAAAATTGACAACAAATAGTTAGTTTTAAAGATTAAAATAAACATTCTAGATATTAATTTAAAAAAATTAAAAACTAAAAACACTTGTGAGCATGATTATCAAAATTATGATTTTATTCATAAAATATTATGATTTTTATGAGTCTAGATATCCAAATTAAGTTAAATTATAATAAAAATTAGAATCTGGTGATAGATCACACAAAATTGAGACATTATTAAGTTAGAAGGTTTTATTGATTTTTGTTTATTATATTGTTCAAGAATCCTTGGAGGTGCGTACTCTGACTACACATGGGCCGTTTGGCCGTGGTTCGAGTCTCAGCTCTGAAAATATTTCAAGGTTTTTCTTTATTATTTTACAAGGCATTTTTATGAACTTTTTTTAAAGATCAAAATTAATCATTTTAATTTAAAATAGACTACACATGGACCGTTTGGCCATGACTCGAGTA